TATGGTTAGAAGGGCCAATTCATCTAATGAACAGATTACTCTAAGTCACATTGGAACATCCACGTTTTTAGGTCTTTACGGAAAGTGGGCAGGGTGGATGCTAATCTAATCTCCATGGGAAGGGAATCCCAGAGCCGGAGGCCACACCAAGAGGGCCCTCTCCCTCGTCCCCACCAACCACCATTGAATGGCTTTGCAGCTTCAAATACTGGCTGCTTCCTGCTTGGGGAAATCCTTTGTTGAGAGATGTTAGCTGGCCCTGATTGTTTCCCAGTTGGAATTCCTGTTTTTGAGTGTTGCTCTTTATTTACTGTCCTGATATTGGGGTTTCTAAAATACTGATAATACTGGAAGTGTTAGCTGGCCCTGATTGTTTGTCTGGAATTCGCTAGACTTCAGAGTATTTCAAAAGGTAGAACTTGCAGGCTCCAGACTGCAGCCAGGAAATCAGGAGACATTTCTTGGGAGGAGAGCAATGACCAATCTCGACAAAATAGTGAAGAGTAGAGACATCACACTGGCAATGAAGGTCCACATAGTTAAAGCAATGGTATTCCCCACAGTCACCTATGGATGTGGAGCCCCCGGTGGCGCAGTGGGTTAAACCCCTGTGCCAGCAGTACTGAAGACCGACAGGTCACAGGTTCGAATCCGGGGAGAGGCGGATGAGCTCCCTCTATCAGCTCCAGCTCCTCATGCGAGAACATGAGAGAAGCCTCCCACAAGGATGATAAAAACATCAAATCATCCGGGCGTCCCCTGGGCAACGTCCTTGCAGATGGCCAATTCTCTCACACCAGAAGTGACTTGCAGTTTCTCAAGTCGCTCCTGACACGACAAAAAAAATCAAAAACCTATGGATGTGAGAGCTGGACCTTAGGGAAGGCTGAGCAAAGGAAGAGAGATGCTTTTGAACTGTGGTGTTGGAGGAAACTTCTGAGAGTGCCTTGGACCGCGAGAAGATCCAACCTGTCCATACCAAGAAATAAAGCCTGATTGCTCATTGGAAGGAAGAATAGTAGAGGCCAAGATGAAGTACTTTGGCCACATCATGAGATGAAAGGAAAGCTTAGAGAAGACAATGATGCTGGGGAAAATAGAAGGAAAAGGAAGAGGGCAAGATGGATGGATGGCATCCTTGAAGTGATTGGTTTGACCTTGAAGGAGCTGGGGGTGGTGACAGCTGATAGGGAGCTCTGGCATAGGCTAGTCCATGAGGTCACGAAGAGTCGGAAACGACTGAACAATGAACAACAACAACAGAACCTCCATTTTACTCTTGGGAGCACAATATGCACAGCTATTACATAATAAACCCTTCCTCCTTTAGAAAGGAATAAGGAATGCCACAATGCACACAGATATTATATAATGAACCTTTCCACCTTTATAAAGAAATACAGTAATATTCAAGCTCTCATGGCCAGAATAACTGGGTTGCTGTGAGTTTTCCAGAAGCATTCTCTCCTAATATTTCGCCCACATCTATGGCAGACAACCTTAGAGGTTGTGAGGTCTGCTGGAAACTAGGCAAATTAGGTATCTGTGGAATAATGTTCAGAGTGGGAGAGCTCTTGCCTGTTTTTGACAAGTGTGAATGTTGCAATTGGCCACCTTGATTAACAATGTATGGCCTTGCAGCATCAAAGCCTGGCTGCTTCCTGCCTGGGGGAAATCCTTTGTTGGGAGATGTTAGCTGGCCCTGATTGTTTCCTGGCTGGAATTTCCCTGTTTTTCAATGCTGCTTTTTATTTACTGTCCTGATTTTAGAGTTTTGTAATACTAGAGGTGTTAGCTGGCCATGATTTATTTATTAATTATTTATTATTATATATTATTACATATATAAATGTAATGTTATATTTATACCCTTTCTTGAACCCGAAGGCAACTCAAGGCAGCTTTGCAACGTAGGCAACTATTTGATTGTTTCTTGTCTGAAATTCCTTTTTTTTCTGAATATTTCGAAAGGCAGAATCAGTTGGAAGAGACCTCATGGGCCATCCAGTCCAACCCCCTGCCAAGAAGCAGGGATATTGCATTCCAAGCACCCCTGACAGATGGCCATCCAGCCTGTTTAAAAGCTTCCAAAGAAGGAGCCTCCACCACACTCTGGGGCAGAGAGTTCCACTGCTGAACGGCTCTCACAGTCAGGAAGTTCTTCCTCATGTTCAGATGGTTTCTCTTTTCTTGTAGTTTGATTGTTTCCTAGCTGGAATTTCCGTTTTTGAGTGCTGCTCTTTATTTACTGTCTTGATTTTAGAGTTTTGTAATACTGGAGGTGTTAGCTGGCCCCGATTTATTTACTTACTATATTTCTACCCTTTCTTGAACCCAAAGGCGACTTTACAACATAGGCAGCTATTCTATTATTGTTTCTTGTCTGAAATTCATTTGTCTTCTGAGTGTTTCAAAAGGCAGAGCCCCCTTTCCATTAAAAGCTCATTTCCCTCTACTTTTTATTTTTGGTCATGTCAGGAGCGACTTGAGAAACTGCAAGTTGTTTCTGGTGTGAGAGAATTGACCGTCTGCAAGGACATTGCCCAGGAGACACCCAGATGATTTGATGTTTTTAATATCTTTGTGGGAGGCTTCTCTCATGTCCCCGTATGAGGAGCTGGAGCTGATAGAGGGAGCTCATCCGCCTCTCCCCGGATTCGAACCTGTGACCTGTCGGTCTTCAGTCCTGCAGAGGGGTTTAACCTACTGCACCACCGGGGGCTCCATTTCCCTCTACTAATAACATTACATTTATATACGTAATAATATATAATATATAATAAATAATAAAATTACATTTGGCCCAGCCATTGGTTTTTAAATGCTTGCGTGTTACTGTTCATGTGATTTATATTAATTGTATTGATTGATTGTTATTGCTCTTGTTATTGATGTACTGTGGGCTTGGCCTCATGTAAGCTGCACCAAGTCCATTGGGGAGATGGTAGCTGGGTATAAATAATGTATTATTATTATTAATAACTCAAATTCTTGGTATACAGGCCAAAGTATTGGGAGCATTATTATTATTGTGGGTACTGACACAATACACATAGCTATCATATAATAAACCTCTTTATCATTATATATATATATATATATATACACACACACACACACACACACACACACACACACACAAGCTGTCCCCTGCCACGTGTTGCTGTGGCCCAGTCTAGTGATTTGGAAAATAAAGTAATTAGAAAGTGTTGGTTTCTAATATATGTAATGTCTTTATGCTTGTGGGTAAACACTCTTTCTTGCTGTTTCTTTGTCAGTGTTGATGTGGTGATTGACTGGTTTGCCTACTCAGGAACATGCAACTTATCATTGTCCTTCTTAAAGGGTCCCTTTCAAATCTGATACTATATCTCTCTCTATATATATATCTATGGCTGGATGGCTCTTTGTCAGGAGGACTTTGATTACATTTTCTTGCCCTGATGAAGGGAGTTGGATCGGATGGCCTTAAGTATTTTCTGTTGGTCATGGGGGTTCTGTGTGGGAAGTTTGCCCCGATTCTATCGTTCGTGGGGTTCAGAATGCTCTTTGATTGTAGTTGAACTGTGAACCCCAGTGACTACAACTCTCAAATGTCAAGGTCTATTTCCCCAAAACTCCATCTGTGTTCATATTTGGGTGTATTGAGTGCTTGTGCCAAGTTTGGTCCAGAAGGGAGTTGGACTGGATGGCCTTAAGTATTTTCTGATGGTCATGGGGGTTCTGTGGAAGTTTGCCCTGATTCTGTCATTTGTGGGGTTCAGAATGCTCTTTGATTGTAGGTGTACTATAAATCCCAGCAACTACAACTCCCAAATGTCAAGGTCTATTTCCCTTAAACTCCATCTGTGTTCATATTTGGGCATATGGAATATTTGTGCCAAGTTTGGTCCAGATCCATCATTGTTTGAGTCCACAGTGCTCTCTATAATTGGGAACTATAATTCCCAAACTCAAGGTCAATGTCCACCAAACCTTTCCAGTTTCTTCTGTTGGTCATGGGAGCCCTGTGTGCTAAGTTTGGCCCAATTCCATCATTGGTGGAGTTCAGAATACTCTTTGATTGTAGGTAAACTATAAATCCCAGCAACGACAATTCCCAAATGACAAAATCAATTTTTTTTTAGTGGAGGACATAAATTGGACTGTTAGGTGTCTTGTGTCCAAATTTGATGTCAATTCCCCCAGTGGTTTTTGAGTTCTGATGGTAGCACGAACTAACATTACATTTTTATTTATATAGATTATTATTAACTCAAATTCTTGGCACACTGGCCTAACTATTGGGAGCATTATTATTATTATTGTGGGTAGTGGCACAATACACACAGCTATTATATAATAAACCCTTCCTCTTTAGAGGGCCAGGTCCCTTCTTTCTACTATTTTCCCTTCTTCCATACACTCATTCATTGGGTTTCTTTGGATCCTGGCCCAAGTCCTTCACTGAGCATCCAACCTCCCCCCCCCCCCTTTTTAGGAAACCAACCCACACATTTGCTTTTCCAACATGGATGCCTCCATTCCTGCCATGCGGGGGGAACCACGTGGTCGTCTGCAATGCGGGGCAGCGCGCGCGCTCCCGACAAGGGCCGCGGGGCCGCGCACGTCCCCCTTGAAGCGGCTCTTTCGTCACCGTTGCCGCGGTAACCAACCCGGGCTCTAAAATAACCCCCTTCTAAAATAACCCAAGCCCAATTTTTATTAACTCAAAAAAACTACAATACCCACAATCCCTAGTAGTGAAAGCGGCTAAGAAGGAATGCTGGGAGTTTGAGTCCTCCTGCTCCTTTAAGGGCAGAGCTTCCTGAACTGTCACTCAGCAGCGCGCCGACCAATGAGAGGCGGGGTTGAGGGAGGCGCGCGCTCCTTCTCGTCTTCCCGCCTCTTTACAGCCGGGTCTTTTCCCCCCCCCCTTTCTCTCTCTCTCCTTCCCTAGCCATTCAGAGCATCCGGGTATTTTGGCCATCCCCCTCTCTTTTCCTCCCTCATAGACTCACCTGGGTGTCCTTCTCCCACCGACTCCGAGGTGAAAAGGAAGGTCCCTTCTTCGATCCTGCTGTCGCGCAATCCGTTCATCGTCGGAGAGATCTCGAGAGCCACAGCTTTGGAAGGCAATCAATTCAGTCAACAAGCTCGCCCGGCTCTGAAACCCGGAATGAGAGAGCCGGCCCCTTGCGGTGCCTTTTATACCCTTAAGCCACGCCCATCGCCCTCCAAGACCACGCCCCTTTCCCCCCTTGAGCCAAACCAAGAGCAGAGGTGCTGGGCGCTACCATTCCAATATTAGGTACCATTCCAATAATTATATCTCAAGAGTCGCTCATTTCCGTACCATTTCGACAAGAGCCACGCCTCTCTTGACGATTATATTGTCCTCTTTTTGAGACTCTGTATTTATCATTCCTTGTGAACAATGGGAAATTTATGTTTTTTCATGATATGATTCCCCTCCCCCCCCTTCCCATCTACCGCCTTCCATTCGCCCAGGGGCTTCTTTCCTTGAAGCGCGCCATGAAACTGCGCAGGCGCAGTTGGGTCGTTCCAGGGTTTGCATAAGAAAAAATAATCAGTACACTGATGGGCGACCCTATACATTTCTATCTCTCCATATCAAAATTAATGCACTTTGCAACCAGGGGAATCCTTTAAAATTAATGCACTTTGCAACCAGGGGAATCCTTTAGCTTTCATAGAATCATAGAATCAAAGAGTTGGAAGAGACCTCATGGGCCATCCAGTCCAACCCCCTGCGAAGAAGCAGGAATATTGCATTCAAAGCATCCCTGACAGATGGCCATCCAGCCTCTCTTTAAAAGCTTCCAAAAAAGGAGCCTCCACCACACTCCGGGGCAGAGAGTTCCACTGCTGAACAGCTCTCACAGCCAGGAAGTTCTTCCTCATGTTCAGATGGAATCTCCTCTCTTGTAGTTTGAAGCATTGACCCAAGGGAGTGAAAATGGTATCAAACTGCATTCATTCTACAGTGTAGATCCTATATTTCAAGGCTGGGGTGTCCATTTTTATTTGTGGCGCATCAATCAATCTGATTTTTCCAGCACATGAGGATCAAGATCCATACATGTTATATGCATTGTTTTATATTATTATTATTATTATTATTATTATTATTATTATTATTATTATTATTATACTAGCCGTCCCCTGCCACGCATTGCTGTGGCCCACATGGGGGTCCTGTGTGGGAGGTTTGGCCCAATTCTATCATTGGTGAGGTTCAGAATGCTCTTTGATTATCGATGAACTATAAATCCCAGCACCTACAACTTCCAAATGTCAAGGTCTATTTTCCCCTAATACATTTAGGCATATTGAGTATTTATGTCAAGTTTGGTCCAGATCCATCATTGTTTGAGTCTACAGAGCTCTTTGAATGTAGGTGAACTACAACTCCAAAACTCAAGGTCAATGCCCACCAAACCCTTCCAGTCTTTTCTGTTGGTCATGGGAGTTCTGCGTGCCAAGTTTGGTTCAATTGTTGGTGGAGTTCAGCATGCTCTTTGGTTGTAGGTGAACTATAAATCCCAGTGTGCGAAATCCCAGCAACTACAACTTCCCAAATGACAAAACCAATCCCACCAACCCCACCAGTATTCAAATTTGGGAGTATCGGGTTGTTGTTGTTCATACGTTCAGTCGTCTCCGACTCTTCGTGACCTCATGGACCAGCCTACGCCAGAGCTCCCTGTCGGCCGTTACCACCCCCAGCTCCCTCAAGGTCAGTCCAGTCACTTCAAGTCACTTCACTTCAAGTATCGGGTATTTGTGCCAAATTTGGTCCAGTGAGTGAGAATACATCCTAGATATCAGATATTTATATTACGAATTATAACGGTTGCAGAATTACAGTTATGAAGTAGCAACGAAAAGAATGTTATGGTTAGAAGTCATCACAACAGGAAGAGGTCTCGGCATTAGGAAGGTTGAGAAACAATGGGGTAAACAATAAATGTGAAAGCAAAAGCAAAAGCAGTCTGAGCAGTAATTCTTAGAATAGCACTTTCACTGAAAGAGGCCATTTCAAAGAAATCTGGCTTTCCCTTCCAGTAAATGGCATTGGGAACAAAACAAGAACTGAACTGACCAAGCACACACCTCCTGCGTGATAAAAGTTGGCTTGGTTTGGACTAGACTGAGAAACGAAGGTTGTGGGGAGTTCAGTTGCTCAGGTGGCCCAGCAATTAGGCCTCAAATAGATTGGCTATTCTAAGTCAAAGAGCCATGGTGAAGATTTATTTATTATTTATTTAAAACATTTCTATTCCTCCCTTCTCACCCCGAAGGGGACTTACATCATATACACGGCAAACATTCAATGCCAGGACACAGATTCACATACAATACATAAACATTAAAAACATTGATCAAAATATTAATATAAACCATTTAAAACGGTCCTAGTCATCCGCGTCAAATCTAATTGGCCTGGTCATCTTTCCTATTGCCGCTTTATTGCCCTGTCATGAAAGCTTGGTCCCACAGCTAAGTTTTGACCATCCTTCTAAAGGACAGGAGGGAGGGGGCCGACCTGATCTCACCAGGAAGGGAGTTCCATAGCCAGGGAGCAATCACCGAGAAGGCCCTGTCTCTCATCCCCACCAATCGTTGAAATATTTAAAATCGGAATATGCTGCTGTTTGAGAGTCTGGTGGAATCTCTTTCTTTCTCTGGAGGTTTTAAAAAAGAGGCTGGATGACCATCTGTTGGGAGAGCTTTGATTGTGTCTTCCTGTCTGGAAGAGAGGGGTTGGACTAGATGACCCTTTGGGTCCCTTCAAACTATGATTCCCTTTAATATCCTGCTAGTCCTTCAGTGTTACAATCCATGCAGTATTTACAGTACAGTTGGGCATTCACAGACTATAGTTCAGGCATGGGCAAACTTCAGCCCTCCCTCCAGGTGTTTTGGACTTCAACTCCCACAATTCAGGTCCCTTCCTTTTCCACCTCAGCCTTAAATACATCCCCATTTAAGCGGTAACTATTTATTTATTCACATTGCTAGATAGGCAAAAGCTGGCCTAAAGGCCAGGCGCTCACCCTGACCCCAGCTTCGAATTGTCAACCTTTCGGTTGGCAACATTTACTGCAGCTGGTGGGTAACCTGCTGTGCTAAAGCCCGGCCCAGATAATCCACATGATCTGCTTTGAATTGGATTATATGAGTCTACACTGCCATATAATCCAGCTCAAAGCAGATAATCTGGATATTATATGGCAGTGTTGAAGGGGCCATACAGACAGATCTGACTGGAAGCTCCCATATTGAAGTCGAACATGACACCCCCCCCCCCAATAAAATATAATAATTTATAGTTTTGCTAAGGACAAGGACACCAGACTGGATAATAAGGGTTAAGCCTTGGTCAATTTGCCAAGACACTAACAACAAGGACCCTTCCCATATTAGATAGTGTGTACATTTAATCAAGGTTTTATGCCCTATGTTTCAAATATAGCAGAAGGTAACACATTTATTACTGAGAAACCACCTCCCTTTACGCTTATGTACTCTCTTGAACTTCTATGGGACTTTTTCCCTTCTGAAGGACTCTTAGAAACTTTTTGGAAACTTTACCTTTTCAAGCCCCCTATGAATTACCCTTGCCTGACCCTTCTGTCCTATTCCCTTTTATTAAAAATGTATATAAAAAATATAAGAAGCCACTCTCAGTGAACCCGGAAGGAGGAAATCTCCTGTTTGTCAAAAGACATATTTGCATGGACAATACAATGGGCTTTGACCCTGGGGCTCGGAGTTTGGCCCCCTACCGGAAAGTGTCCACTTGGCATGATTGATAATATCTCAACAGGACAAAGGGCTTTCGGAAAGCCACACTTTGTCCTGATCTGCTTTCTCAGTTATCTTCCATCCACCAAAACCACCGCCAGGATTACCCCATTGTCTCCATATCTGAGTTCAAGAAAAATCCAGATTCTGGCCATTTCGCCAGACATCAACGTTGATTGCTACTCCTCAAGACAATAGGCTGGTCGGCGAGAAGCCCTCCTGAGGACTCACCGGCCACATGGACACCACATATTTCCATAATCCACTCCAGTTCTCATTGTTTCCCTCTTGTCCCGCCTCCTTCTCTCCTGATTGGCCAGGAGGCCGAAGTGGCTTGAGTTCACCCATTGGTTAAGGCACTCAGGAGGCGGCCAAGCCTTCTCTACGTCTCATCTTGGAGTTTAAGATCTTCTGGGAAGGCCCTGCTCTCGACCCTGCCTCTATCACAAGTGAGGCTGGTGGGGACGAGGAGCAGGGCCTTCTCGGTGGTGGCCCCTCACCTGTGGAACTCACTCCCCAGGGAGATCAGATCAGCGACTTCCCTTTTATCATTCAGAAAAAAATTGAAGACCCGGATATGGGACCAAGCTTTTGGACATTCTGGCAGCTAAAGGAAAGACCCTGATGATGAGCAGGAAGTGATGGAACGGAATGGATATTCGGAACTCTGAACACTGAGCATGAGATTGTTTACTATTATATTATGTACTGATGATTTTAATTTGTTAATTGTTTAAATTGCTTTTATATATGTTTGTATAACTGACATAGGCATCGAATTGTGCCTTCGTTTGTAAGCCGCCCTGTGTCCCCCCTCGGGGGTGAGAAGGGCAGGGCAGAAGTAACTGAAATAAATAACAAATAAATAAATTCTCCCAGCTATAGAGTGCCAACCAATCAGACAGCTCTGTTTTATGTATAAAAAGGCTTTTATTTGTGTACACTGTATGCTTTGCTTGACGAATTATTGCGGCTTTGCATCCTTTCCAGCTGAATCGCAATAACATCAACTCAGTGGCGCTTCCTTCAGCTTTGGTGAAATTCTTTTGGGAACTTGGGGAAATCTTTTAACTGTGGCTTCTTTTCTTTTGCTCACCAAAGTAGCGAGCCCTCTTTGGTGGGTCCACAGGGTCCCTCCTTAAGGGCGAGACCCTTCTAAATTCCTCCTCGACTTCAATATCATCGAGCCATGGAAGTCAAAGTGGTGTCAAACCACATTAATTCTACAGTTTAGATGCATCATCTGTGGCCTGGGGTGCCTTGGACTTGGGAGGCCTTATGCACAGGCAGATCAGCTTGATTAAATGCCAACAGGGATGAACTGTAGATGACTTCTGACCAAGACCATGGCCCTTTCTCATTGCAATC